CAGTGAAAGTATCTTTCAAAAACAAAGGTGAAATAAACACATTTGTAGAAATGCAAAAGCTAAAATGATTAATTACCAGCATACTTGCATGACAAGGAATGTTAAAGAAAGTCCTTTGGTACAAGGCAAAACATCATATGAAAATCTTGAACTAACAAAGGAATGAAAAGCACTGGAAATGTTAACTCCATGGGTAAATACAAAATATTTTTTTTTTAAATTAACTATTTAAATATCTTCAAAGAATAATTTACTGTTTAAAGCAACAATTAAAAAAAAAATCCCAAGCAAACAAAAAAAATAATGTATTTTGGATTTATAATGTATGCTGAAGTAAAACGCATACAAAGGCTGAGAGGAGAAAATTGAACTATAAGTGCTCATACTACACACACATACACACATACATACACACACATATATATTTATACTATATACACTTGAAATTATAATATCTCTTGAAGGTAGACTGTGATAAGCAAAAGATGTACACTAAAAACCCTAGAACAAGACAACAAAGATTTACAGCTAATAAACGAAGGAGATAAAATGAAATAATAAAAAATACTCAATCCGAAGCAAGGTGGAAGAAGAGACAAAAGGTAACAAAGAACATATGGGACTAACAGAGAACAATGAGCAAGATGGCAGATTTAAATAAAGCTATAGCAACAATCATATTAAATGTAAATGACCAAAACTCCACATTTAAAAGATATTATCCAATTAAACAAAGGAAGAAAATCCAACTATATGCAGCCTACAAGAAACCCATTTTAGAAACAACCTAAATGTCCATCAACAGATGAATGGATAAACAAAATTGTGGCACATACATATAATGGAATATTATTCAGCCATAAAGAGAAATGATGTCCTGATACATGCTACAACATGGATGAACCTTGAAAACATTATACTCAGTGAAATAAGTCAATCACAAAAGGACAAATATTGTAGGCCTCACTTACATGAAATATCTAGACTAGGCAAAGACACAGAGACAAAAGTTTTATTAGTGGTTACCAGGGGTGGGAGGAAGGGGAAAAGAGGGAATCATTATTTAGGAAGCAGTGAGTTTGTTTATGGTGACTGTCATGCATTGAATTGTGTCCCCCCAAAATATCTGTCAACTTGGCTAGGTCATGATTCCCAGTATTGTATGACAGTCTACCATTTTGTCATCTGATGTGATTTCCCTATGTGTTATAAATCTTAATCTCTGCCTGTGGTTAATGAGGCAAGATTAGATTATGTTAAAGAGGACTAGGGTGGGATGTAACACCCAGGTCACATCCCTGATCCAATGTAATCTCTCAAGAGATAAAAGGAAAGGGAAGTAAACAGAGAACGGAGGACCTCATACCACCAAGAAAGCAGCGCTGGGAGCAGAGCATGTCCTTTGGACCTGGGGTTCCTGTGCGGAGAAGCTCCTAGACCAAGGCAAGACTGATAACAAGGACCTTCCCTCAGAGCCAACAGAAAGGGAAAGCCTTCCCCAGGGGCTGGCACCCTGAATTTGGACTTCTAGCCTACTAGAGACTATGAGAAAATAAATCTCACTTTGTTAAAGCCATCCACTTGTGGTATTTCTGTTATAACAGCACTAGATAACTAAGACAGTAATGGAAAATTTGGTAACAATTATTGGTGAT